GTCGGGTTATCGTCACCACGCACGAGCACGTGTAGGACAGGCGAACTTAGTTGCGCCTCAGCGTGCTCGTATGGGATGATGGTTTCGCCGCGAATCTTTTTGGGTGGGCGGATCGACGCACGGGGATGCATGTAAACGCGCGATTTGGATCGTGTTTACATGTGTCTTCGCGCGACGTTCACAGGGCTCGACATCGGATTGTCTAATGGCTCCGTAGGTTTGGTTATGAGAGATGCAATCACACCCCAATCCAGCAACAACGAGAACAAAATCGCTATCGGGGCCAAGTTCTTATCCTCTCTACAACTGTATCAGGTGCAGGCGATGATTCGTCAGAAACAAAAGCAAGGACAAGGATTTTCAGCAAAAGATAGACAAGCAGGCATAGCATCCATACATCCATACATCCATACATTCAGTAACCATACACATAATGCAATCAAAAGATAGACAAGTGTCGGGGCTAATCCTTGCTGCATCGGTGGGGCCGCACCGCAATTGGCCGCATATTCCTCATCATGGCTTCTAGCCAAGCATTGTGCTCTCGCTGCTCCTTTTTGCTTTCCTGGATTAAACTGATCAATGTTTTGGTTAGTTCGAAGATAACCGCAGTTTTGTTCGATCGTGCGGGGGCGTCAATCGATGGTGGGGGTAATGCTCTGATGGCCGGGGGTATCATCGGAGCGGAGGTGCTCAAAATCTCACTTAGGACCACTCGTTTGGGGCCTATCTATTCCATATAGGTGACAGGTCCTGACACAAATCCCATGTTTTCAAACTTGTTCTGCAAGGCACCCAACTCAGCTGTCGCTCGTGCGAGTTCGATTGAATCTCCTTCTCCAGGATAATCTTCTTCTTCCAGGAAGTTTGCTGCGAACTTCCATTCCATTTCCTCCGCAGCAACCATGATTTGTTGTAACGTGTGAGTGATGGGGGAAAATTGCTTCCGCAACTTAGCCCTTATTGTCCGGCTGCGAAGCCTGTCAATGAACAAATCTCTCCCTTCTTGCTCCCTTCGCTCAGTTTTCACGAACATTGTATAGAACCGGTTTCGATATTCTGCAACGGATTCGAGAGGTTTTTGCATTCGGTCCTTGATCATGTATAGTGCTTGCTCGGGGTGGACAYAATCAAATCGGTTCATGAAATCCCGTTCGAAGGTCGGGAGATCAACCCACACGTAGGTACTATACCAATGATGAGCGTCTCCTCCCATTCGAGCAAGAATGTTGGTTTGTGCTTCGTTATCATCGTACGACTGTGCTCTAAGCTTGGCCAGCCATTCTCCTGCGAGATGGTGCGCTGGATCAAATAGATAGAGATCAGGCGGCGTCATGGGAGCTCGTGCACGTGGGGCGGGTTGATTTGGTGGATTAACATTCTGTTGCGGAATCGGGTTTTGCACATTGGCAGCCATATTGGCTGCTCGTCGGTTAGCCGATCTGCTTCGAGTGACGATAGGGTCACGTCTATGCTCGTTCCGAGGGCGAGGTCGCCCACGGTTAGCCAGGTCGCCTAATTAACGTGCTATCAATCCTAAGACCCTAGCCACACGTCCGGAGCCGATACCAACCACACGCCCAGCGCGACTTCCTGATCGGAGTGGAATGCGGGCCTGGAAGTGCGAAAAGGGGTGTGCCAAGGATTTTGGGGAAAAGTGGGGGAGTCTTAGGGGTATGAATGCAATTAGACAAGCAAGGGGCGTGTGGGACTCAAGGCCCGATGGGGCCGGGGTACTGTGGGTGGCGATGTACGGGGAAGTCCCTCCGCAGAGGAGGCGGTCCCAAAAAGTTGGGCCGTCGGGGGCCGCCACGTGGCGCAGGCCGCTGCGTATTTGGGTTGGGCCTTCGGAATTCCGGGGTTCTCCGCTCGCCGCTACGTCGACAATTCCCGCAAGGCGTGCTGGGCCAATAGGGAGCTATGGCCGGCCACGGAACGACGTTGAGTTGATGATACGGGAGAAGGAGGCGAAAAGGAGGGAAACTGGTGGTGATAACGACAAATCCCGGGTGGGTGAAGTAGTAGGTATGGTCGGGGGAAGGGAAATCAGAACATCGGGGGTCGCTAGTGGTGGCGCAGTGGAATTCCCGCGGACACAGTCGATTCTTCGTGTGACAGGGGTATCGCAGCCTTAGGAGTTCGTTTATCCAAGGGGTGAAGTAATCCGGGTCGTATGATGAGTCTGAGCTC